ATTAGAAGCAGATTAAATGAAAGCTGAGTTTGATACAATGAAAAAATAATGATACTTCATATATATTTTTCACATATGATTCTGTAGTTTGAGCATATTTAATAAATTATGTAATAATCAACCCAAATGTAATTCTTTCATGGAAGAGGTAGGGAGAAAGGCTTTCTAGATGTTAAGAAAGTGCTCTAGGGTGCAACTGTGAGCTCCATTTCAAATGCAGGCAGATTGGAAATTGTGCAAAGTCTTCAGAAATTGATTAGAAATTAGAATTGTGCAAAGACTTCAGAAAAAAAGGCTGGATACAATGAATGGACCACCTTGGTTTAGAGATAAAAACTCAGCAAATGAATGGACAGATTAACAGAGAGGTTTCCTAGCAACTGGCTCAGGACAATGAACTCACTCTCACAGGAAGAATAAGTTTAATTCTAAGTTTAATTCTCTTCATTTGAGGGAAGAAGAATATGTAAAAGCTGTTTATTGCAAAGCAACTCACAACTATTAAGAACTGGTTATTAAAATCAGAGAATATCTTTGCCCAAATTAAGGTGCAAATGAGACCATATGTCAAAGTCATTAGTATGGATTTTTATTTAACAGTAAATGTGAGGGAGAAAGGGGGAGAGAGAGAAAGAAATAGGAAAAGAGAGTGGAAGCAGGGAAAGAAAGAGAATGAGAGAGACACAGGAAATGTGTCACCACTGCATGGATTCTGTTGGTTCTCTTCTTCTGGTTTTAGTGGTGAGGGTCCTAGTCTAGTCAAAATGATTGTCACTGTCTTGAGCCATGTGGGATGAGAGAAAAACAAAATCCACTGGTTTTATATTTACTCAGGTTTGAGTGGGCATACCCAAGTGCCTGGGGCAGGGAATTTTATGCTGGATGATGTAGTCCTTTGGATCATGGGACACTTTGGGAGTCTGATGGTTTATGACACATTCTAAAACTAAGATATCACAGCTGCTTCTTATATCAGTGAAACAGTCAATTATGGCCCACCAGAAGGGGTGAATTCCTTCAGGCTGTGTGCGAATGCCTACTACTTCTTTGGAAGGGAATTTCCACAGCTAGTCACTGCTGAAAGGACTTTGGCATGATAAAAAGTAGGACCCCAACTCCCAGGATCTGCCTATTATCAGCCTCTTTCCTTATCTTATCCAACATCCAGCTGTAGCCTCTGGTGATGGTGTGCACACCTTCTCTACCTGGGCAGTTAAGTGATTGATTGTTTGAGTAATTAACTGGTATCAATCCAGACTCCCACAGCCACCTCTTAAGATTTATGAGATGGAAAAATTTAAGAGATTAAAATTTATGAGAGGAAAAAAATCCACACCCAAGTTCCTCTCTGTGGGTAATTAAGATGGCTGAAGAAGTATTAATTCCTCAACAGAAAAATATCTGAAAATTGTCTTTTTTGTTTGTTTGTTTCTGCAAATCCCCCACATATTAGGACAATGAATGCAAAAGACAAATGCAGTGAAGTCATTACTACTGAGCAAAGTATGCATGTTATATGCTTCTTGGAGCCTTTTTGAATTTGGGGAAGTATTTCCACATCAAAAGCAAATGCTAATGCATAGGTGGCAGCAACTTTTGAAAAAATAGTTGCAAGCAATACCTTACATGTACAGCTAATTAGATACATTGCAGATATGGCTATGACCTCAGACAACATGCCACACTGAAGCAGACAGAGCCATAAGTTGACACATCATTCAGCATTAGACCTGCCCAGAACTAGATTAATGGGATGCTTGGGAGCATAACATAATATGAATGGTACAATAATTTGTAGTCCTGGAGAGAAACATTAGTCATGATAGATATCATTCTGAGCTCTATTATTTATTTGCTGCTTAATGAAGATCAAAAGTGTACAGCAGGTCTGTAGCTGATGCTGACCTTGAAGGTTACTCTTAACTTTCCTGAAAATCACTAGAAGTTGGTTGTTGTGCCTATCAGTTTTGGTTTGTTTTCTTTTAAGTTTTAGCTTCAGTAAAATACAGTAGAAGTTTATACTGAGATTAAGGTACTGATGCTTGGCTAAGTGGATAATACCTGATGCTCAGAACACCAAGGATTGTGAATTTTTTTAACAAAATGTGACTTTGAAATAATGCACTTCTTGCAAAATATTCCCTGGCAAGAAAGAGCACAAAATCAGTGAAATAAAGGGCAGCTTTTAAAAACGTACACTTAATAGCATCAAAATCTAGACCTAGAAAAAGAAATGTAAATGCCACTAACTTCAGCTTTGAATAAAATTGAGACCACAAAGTTGCTGATACACCAGACTATCTTAAATCACGTTAGCCCAGGTAAGAGAGACCTTCTTACATTGTTTGCATTCATATCAACAAGTTTTTGTCTTCCACCAAGGGGAGGTGAATGTCTCTGCTTTGCTAAAATATCACATCTTTTTCTACTGACAGAAGTCTAAAAGCACAAGAAAGTTTCTGACCTTAAATAGTTTTCTTAATGGACTCTCTGCTAAATTCTCTCTTAGTAGGTTTTTTTCAACTGGATTGTAATTGTTCAAGTAGCAACTACAATACCAGGGTGCAGAAATTTTCTTAAGACTTAGAAAGCCAGGACATAAGTTTAACCTCCGCCAGACCTCTTTGTGGCTTAGAGCCTCTCATTACAGGATAAACTAATCAACAAATTATTTGTCTTCTAAGACTTGGAAGAGTCTGTAAAATTAATGAAGACAACTTTATAAATGTCACTGAACAGCAGTAATGCAGTTCTTTTTAGAGTCCCTGGTCAAACATATCTCCTGCTTACATAAATGGAAGCTAAAATGTGTCATTATTTTCTTGATTATGATCAAGAATCCAGTGTCTGAGCATATACCTCTCTATATTAAACACAGTCAGTTTAATCCACTCACACATCCTCCAGAATGCTGGCTGCACATCCTGTTATGTTGTTATAAAAGTGTTTCACAGAGATCTATTATACTGCACTGTTCTCCACTTACAGTGATGATTCTTCCAATTGATGCTTCTCTGCCCAGTTATACAGGTGTGAAGATGAAATACATATCTTTTTCCTGATAAGAATATTAGGGATTTACACATTCATGAACCTTCTGGAAGTCAGAGTGACAGCCAAGATTTTTAACAGCTCCTGAACAATGAAACAGGACAGTTGCTATCCATTACGCTATTCCTCACACTTAGCAATAAAACACACATTAGATGTAAATTACCATCAAGAGAGGACAAATGTGGACTGATTCTGGTCATATCCTTTTTGTAACTAAAGCTTTGTGCCAAGATCACTAGTGATATTGAGCAACCAGTTTCAATAGCTAGTAAATACTACTGTTAACTTAAAAAAATTTATATCCTGAATTTGACTCCTGATAGGAGTGTGTGCACTATTCTTTTGCATTTCAAGCTGTAGAGTACTGAGATATCCATGTCCCCTTCTGTGATTTCTCATATGCCAGAGCAAGAATATAAGAACTGCATTCTGACCTGACTGGTCTATCTTCCCTTCAGCAACATCATTACCTAGGCCACTTCAGAAGGCAAAACACTCCCACGGTAATCAAGCTCTTAGATCTACAGGGTTATTAAGCTATAGATCATGCCCATATTCACTTTGGCCTCAGAGGCAATATTAATGTCTTCACCTCTCTTCTTTGCATTTGAATATCCTTTGGTAAAGATTTTGACTTGATGCTACATGGAATATTACAAGTTAGTTCAAAAAATGCAAATTAAGAGAAGATTGACTGAAGAAGTGTGCCAAGATGTGCTGCAAAGAAACTCTTCTGCCTAAAAAGAAAAAACTAAATTATAGAAGATTGGATCTTGAAATGAATCCTATTTCATCTTGTCATTAATGACCTTGGCATAAAAGAAAGAAATATGCAAATGACAATTGTATGGAACACAATTGGACATCTTACCAATACAGCATGTGATGAAAAGAACAGATGGGAACAGACAAGAAATGCAATCCTACAAAGAAGAAGGTCATGCACATGTGAACAACTGGCTCATAACTTCCTAATGAATAAAGATAAAGATCTGAGTGTGTCTACATGAGCACAAAATAAGTATAAATCAAAAAACCTCAAATATTAATCTAGGTGAATTCAGTGACAGATTTCTATTAGAGCTAGAGAAGTATCAATACTTACACCCCTAGAAATATTTTATTTTGAATGCAGAGTACAATTTTATTCACTCAGGATCAAAATTACTCAAATTAGAATCAGTGCATGGGATGAAATACATAGTTCAAGGAAAGATGGTCAGTATTTGCTTGGTTAGCAAAGTAGACCAAATCTGAGAAAGGAAATGCCTATACTTAATTAGTTTCTTAAAGTGAACTTTGGGGAATTATAATGACTGTTGGCTAAAATTCTAAAAAAAAAAAATTTGAAATGGTTCTCTATATTCTCTATATATATTTTGCACTTTTCAGCATTAAATACATACATATTTCATCAGGAAAGGTGAGAATCTGATCCTATTTTCTCATTCATATTAAGCATTAACTTCTCTATAAATAAAAATTCAATCAATATTATCTGTCAAGTAATCTTAATTTTATCACACTAGCAAGACATATTCCAAATGTCACTATGTTACAGTAAAAAGGGAGAGGAAGAAAGTTCTTCATTCCTAAGAGGACTTTTTTTAACACCATGGATAGCATCCAAAATATTTCTGTTCATCTCCTTAATGAATTTCTTTGTGCTAGGTGGAATAATTTGCTTTGAACACGCAAATATGTGCAATGTGCTTTAAGCAAAGTCAAAGTTATTATAAAACCTGAAATGCTCTTCTTTAATCCCTACTAATAATTGTATAAATGCACTGTTCTGATAATCCTCACAACAGGATATTAGGACACATACATTTTGTAAGATGAAAGCTGCATTCAAGAGTTCCTCAGACTGTACAAAAAACACCCTTGTGAACTACCTTGAACACAGATTTACTGAGTTTTAAACTGGCACTTCATCCCTGTTTCAGCAAGCGTCCTCTGCAGATTTAATGATCAGGAACATCCTCCTGATGCACGCTGGGAGATATGGCTGCAGGGTCCAGACCGCAGCGGACACCGTGTCAGACGAGACGGAGCTGCTTGTTAGGGGTGAGTATGCCTGTGGTTCCCCCTGAAAAACACCATCACCACACAGAGCTGTACCAGGGACTTTTAAATCAGTGAGCTTCAGGGATGTCTCTGCCATGCAGTGGTCCTCAGATTTCATGTTTTCAAAGCCATTTGAAAGCAGTTTCACCATAAGCTGACCTGCAGACACTGCAGAGAGAAACAGAAGACAGTGAGTTAACAGACAGTTTTAAGAGAGGTAACAGCACAAAATGTATACAGATTAGCTAAAATGCAGGCAATTAACATTCACAGACCTGTGTAAAGTAGAAATAATGAGTTTTTTCTATTCTATTTGATGCTTTGTATTTCATCTTATGGTCAAGCTATTCTTCCAGCTTTAACAGTTTAGGAACATTCATTCATTTCCTAAGAGTGGAAATACAGCCCTTTGTAAAATTATAGATATGAACAATGAAACAGAAACCCCATAATATGACAAGAATTTGGATTTTTTTCAAACATGGAAGTGTTACCACCAATTGTTTACTGCATCTTTATGCCCAGTCCTATAATCTGTTAAATTGTTTCACCTGTCATTGAACTTTCCTGATTATGCACAGGATCACAGAGTCCTTTTCCTGAAGGATTGCAGATCATCCTGAGGATGCCAACTCCATTAAGCAGAGTGTTTCTGCATTCTGCAGTAGGAGTGTGTGCATGAGTGCATACACACACATGTGCTCAGTACCTGAGGGGATCTGAGGATTTGCAGTTCACTTATTGGCATAATGACTGGTGGGTCCTGTGATGCCAACAGAGATGGATCCCTGCTAGGTAGCACAGCTGGGTAACCTTACTGTGGGTGATGCATTTTTGAAATAATAAATCAAGGTAGATATTATATTAACATTTCAAAAATTCCAGATAAAAAAGAAGTCAAAGTTATTTGGGTATTATAATCTTTCAAAAATATTTATTTTATCACATTCCACAATATCTTTAGATTTGAAGTATTCCTATCTACCCCTTTTGGGGTAAATATATGTTTTAAATGATAAAGAATGTTTCTGGCTGACTGCAGGTCTCTTCATTTTTTCATGAAAGTAATAGTTAAATATTTCCATAAAGACACTTTGAGGACCGTCAGATTTCTATGAGCTATGGCACTATTGGGATGGTTGTATTCAGCTGACTCGCCATGTAATAACATTTTAGCTGGCTTATGAAATCTGATTCATCCTTCTGGGTTATGCAAGGCCTTTTGTACCCCCTTTGTCTGTCTCAGACAGGAGCAGGAGCCTCTGTGGATAGGCAAGGCAATCTCAACTTTAAATTGAACTTTTATGACAAAAAGGTTTTAGTTATTATCTAGGATAGACTGATTACAAAATTATTTGTCTTTAAAAACACTGGTTATATAAATTAGTTTATTGAATTTCCTGTAGAAATGAAATTATTCTCTGAGGAAGAGGTCTGAAATTAAATATTTTAAAAAGGCATTGTAACAAGTATCAGGATGCATTTATATGAGTCTCCTCCCCATGTCACCATGCTGTTGAAGTAAAAGCTATAACTGCTTTGAAGTGGAATTTGAATTCAAATACACTTTTCTTACAAATTTGTCCTTTTCTTGTTTCTACAATTGGATAATTTTAGGATAGAGCAAGAAATTTTGGGTTTTTTTGTATTTCAGAAAATGTTTAAAGCACCTTCAGCGTAGAATTGTGAATGACTAGTCCTTACAGACATCAACAGTACAAAAATCAGAAATATTTATAAGAATCTAATCTATCTCTCCTTATACTTTTGCAGGATCTTCACTTTCATTTCAGTTTCTCTAATTTTTTTCCTCCCCTATCTCAGCTTGTAGACTGCACTTAGTGGTGTGCAATTTGACACTGATGATCCCAAAATTACAGCACTTTTCAAACTTCTTTATATTTAGCTTCCGGTGATACTGGACATTACTTAGGAGAAGATACCAGCAGAAACAGATATTTCAGTAAATATTTCAGTTAACTCTGAAGAATTCCGCCTGACGAAGTCATCTTCTATGAAGAAAACTCATGCAGTAAAATTTGTAATCCAAAGCCATATTATTCTTTATTTCCAGCACAGTTTATAGTCAAAATAATTTCACTTTATGCATATTACAAAACATCCTTTCCTCTTAAATGTCACAGCCCAAAGCCAAACAGATAGCAGACACTTTGCTATGAACTCTTGTATGTATTGATATGAGCAAACCTACAGCACACCCTTGCTCTGACCTTTCTTTCTCTCCTTTTGACTCTGCAGAAAATGCCAGTGATAATACTGATAATATCATACCAGCATATAACTCCATTTCAATCACTACTTTTATTGTAGGGTTCATATGGTATTTTAATAAATAATTGTAATTTTTTCTTGAAAATTTGTTCTTTTTACAATGTTTCTACATGAAATAAATTGGACATAGAGAATAAATTAAATTAAAATAATCTCTTTCCCCTGCTTTAGATATTCATGAATATCAGAATTACTGCCACTAGAAAATTGATTAAATTTAAACTGAAGTATGTATTCAACTGGTTCTCTATTTTTAAGTCAAAGGGCTTTTTGTCAGCAGTTAATTACAAGTGACTAGGAACAGTATTATACCTCACTGCAGCCCCTCAGATGGAGGAAGCAGAAACAAACTTTGCAGACTTCTGTTGCTCAAAATTAACATCCTGAACTTTAACAGACAGACATTCACCCCTGTATTTTCAAGGAAGTGCAATGTCTTAGTATCATTTATTGTGGGGAAAACAGAGTATCCCTAAATAATATTTATTCATTTTGAAACCATCTTTACTACTTGCTCTATTGTAAGTTCCTTTGGTTATATGCCAGGGAATGTCACTACTTTTGCCCTTGCCTTTCTTTACTCTACATGATACAATAAATGCTATAATCCAAAAATATCACCAATGAACAACACCACAAAGAACAGAGAATGTACAGGACCAAGTAAATCTCAATTTATTTGAGTCTAATTACTCATAAGAAGGTAATTAACAGTGCAAGAAGATTCCTAAATTTACTGCATATATACATGGGTGTGTATGTGTGTGTGTTTGTGTGTGTGTGTGTGTGTGTGTGTGTGAAATACAAAGGAAATAAGACAGCAGGAAGTTTCTATTCTGCAACTTTCTATAATGCTATAATGTCTTATACATTTTTTTAACTCAAAATTTAAATTTTCAAATTCACTACCTCACAGATCTTGAATTTAGGTAATTTGCAGTGAAAAATATATATAATATTTTTCAATAATAATTGTGACCTAGTGTATCTCTTTCAGGAACATTTCAAAAGTATATATATAAAGATATTCTATGTCATGTTTGGACAAAATCAGGATTCAAGTCCCATCAGTGCTAAATACTCAAAAAAATCCTCCAAATACTTCTCTAAGTTCTCTAAAATGTGAATAAACTATGCATATTAAAGTAAGAAAAACTTTTTAGTAGTCCCTAGCATTCTTTTCTTCTAATGCTGCCAGTAATGTGTATTTCATTAGGAAGAGATGCTTTGCCAGTTACTGGACCTGTCAGGCAGTACATCAGCTTTCCAAATTAAATGTCTTGCATTTTATTCTTGGAGTGGGTTGTGAGTGAGAAGTATTTTGGTAGTATCATGCTGGTCAACAATGAGCTTCAAGGGTGAGTTGTCCTGGCATACCTGGCATCATCTCTTTATATTCAGGTAAGCTACTATCTAACTTACCAAGGTATTTCCTCTCCAAAATACAGCTCTATAAAATTCTCTGTAATTCATCATCACAGGGGATTTTTTATTACGTGTCTAAAAAAAACCAAAAACACCCATGTTCTTTCATTCATCCAAGATCTCCTATCCCCTCTAGATACACACATTGATTCTGTAGAGGTCCCCAGAGAGTCCTTTACTCTCTGAATATGATGAGGATGAGAGAAGATTCAGATCAAAGGCCAGAAGTGGTTTAAGGCAGAAGAGGCAATGTCAATCACTTTCAGCTTAGCTCAGCAGCTACAGTGCTCATCTATGTGGTAGGATAAATCTTTTTATCTGTCTCAGACCATGACTCAAAATCACACTTTCTCCTTAAAAGCATGCTATACCTGCAGGTGGCTGCTAGGTGGGATCAAGATAAGTTCAAGCCTCTTTCTAAGGCAGAAGAGCCAGGAGCACAGAAATCAAGTGACAAACAAATGAGCACCTGGATGTGTAGGGCACAATATAGGGCACCTCCAGTAACCTAGATATTTTCTTCTTTCATTGAATTGAATCCTGCTCTAGGAATGCACAGAGTTTCCCTAAGGTGAAGCTCTGTCAATGGCTTAAGCTAATACACTGAACTCTTTATTGGAAAGGGAAAAGCTAAATAGCTCTACAAAAGCTAAATAACAGGCATGCCATCCTCTGAAACAGATTGCCCTCCATTGGGGCAAAGATGGAGATAGTGGTAAATTTTCTGCAATATTTTCTGGAAGGCAGTCACCAGAGGCCATAACAGCCTCTGGTTACAACTCAAGGTCATCTAGAAGAGAAAACAGCTTTTCACAGAAGCTGGTAACTATTCTAGCACCAGGTCTGCACAAATGTGGTACCTCAAGTACAATCCCGTGACAGAAATTATGTATGTCTGATGATCAGAGAAATAGTGGAGTGAATGAATACAACAAAAATCACCTTTATGGACTTGCATTCCTGACACCCAAGTCGGTACCTGATTTAATTTCATTTATGTCTCCTGTTGTTTGCTCACCCAAGGAAATGCAGAAAACCTGCTTGCCATGCAAACAAGAATGTTTACAGGAGAATATAGATACTCACTACACAGTCAATAAATGTTGTCCTCAGCACATGAAGGCAAGAGCAATTTAAGAAGTAGAAGTGATTTATGATTTTTATGAATGCCAGTCCTGTCCTTGATATCAGTCCAATAATACCTTTTCCATGCCATGTGCATTTTCTGGCTACCAGCCTTTACTTATCTACCCAGATCTTCAATTTGCAGTGAATATTAAGTA